ATTATAAAATATTAGGTCACTTTTAGAATAAGGACCTTGACATCAAAACATAATGACCAGTGATAACAATTTGCGGGATGATAAATTTGTATGTAGTTGAAAATTTGCAGTACTACTTGATGATTTTTATTCTTAATAATTAAACAAACAAAAAAAAAACTCCGTATTATAATTAAAAAAAAATACAAACCAATATTTTCGAACAAGTCTGGAGCAAGAATGACAAAGGAAATCAATTAAAATGGACGTACAATGAACAGCTTAATAAAGCGAAATAAATCACTTCGGAAGTAAATAAAATGTGAAATCAAATTGAAGAAATACAAAAGTATCATTGAAAGACAAAGCTTAGCAATCTTCTAAGTGGTTGAAGAGGATCGTGCGGAGAACAATACTACTACGGGCTCCCTCCAGATAATGCCCGCCTCCACTGCTTTGTAAATGCTTTTAACGATCCTGAATGAAATTTCGTCGAAGGAGCCGAGTGAAACGCTTGTACGCAACATTCGTATAGAGTGTTTTCTAATTTTTATCTGTTTTCATACGTAACAACCAATAAAAGCAACTTTTCGGTGCATAGTGTATTGAAATGAGTAGTAAAATGACAAAGAAAGAGACTTTTTATGTGAAAGACATACAGAGTTTAAGGAATGATGTGTGCGTTTTGGGAATATCTTGCTGTTTTTCTCGAACGCCTTCAATAATGCCAGTGATACATAAGCTCATTAAGCATTGTTTGTATCATTCTTTAGACACCAATTTTAGTTCTAAATAGATTACTGAATGCATTTATTTCTACCATCTTTAGGGCATAAATTTTCAGTTAAAAAAATATTTGAATCAACATCCCTATTATGATCAAATAAAAATAAAATCTTTTATTTATTTTAAATTACTATAACATGCTAAATTTACTCGTAATAACATGCTGTTTATTTGGAAACAATATAATGGCTACATTAGAATTGACCGCATTATTTTCCTGGCCAGTTTCCTTATACTGAACCTGTGAATAGTATTCATATAACTATTGAGAATTATTAGAAGATCAGGTTAAGTTTCCTTGTTTACCACGAGTCCCTCAAGCAGCGGCTTACGTAGCTCAGGCTTACCTATTTCTCGGCAAAAGTTTAGAAACGTTTTGCTGAGAACATTCGAGGCGGAGCTTTCCTAGTGGCGTACGCAAACAAACGTCGCGACGTTCTTTTAGCCGAAGCTTATTTTATCATTTTGTACCTGAAATGTAACAAGATTTATACTAGTTACATTTCCTCTAGATCTCTTTGATTTTTTATTATTATTTTAAGAAGAAAACTTAAGTACATTAAAAAAAAAAACTTAATAATAATTACGGTTGTTTGCAATTGAAATAGCATGCATTGTAACATTTGGTTGTTTAATATCAGTAAGTAGTTAGTGAAGATTTATCTATTCCGTGAATTGAGTGTTATGGTAAATTTCTAGATATTAAAGTTTGGAAATTATGTATTTTATTGGTCAGAAAAATTTATAGCCTCATTAGGGAGAACATGAGACCTACCTGATGGAAAGTAGCCATCATATCTACATGCATATTCATGCAGCGATCATGCAGTTATATATCAATTTGGAAATTCCACTTTTTGAAAGGAAGAAAAATATGGTTTAGTGTTATTGCATCAAATGCAGTTAAAATTAGAAACAATTCAAAAAAATGCTTAGCTGCTAAATGCTTGCGAATTTAACTAAGTGAAAACATTGATTTTCTTCATGTTTTAAATCGAAACTAAAATTCGCGTAATAATCTATCTCTGCATGCGTGTGAACTATCATGTCTACGTGTTTAACACACTATTATTCTAAAGGCAGAGGTGGGCAGGAAGCATTGTTGTTTGCTAAGCAAACCGCGTCAACGAAGCGTGACCCAAGTTGATGACGAGGCTGCAGACGCTTCCGTGAACAGAACTATCAAGTATCAATGAACTTCGAAGTAAATTAATATAAATTTTTTACTGGTGGTAGGACCACTTGTGAGTTCGTGCGGGTAGGCACCACCACCCTGCCTATTTCTGCTGTGAAGCAGTAATGCGTTTCGGTTTGAAGGGTGGGACAGCCGTACCGTTGTAACTATACTTGAGACCTTAGAACTTATATCTCAAGGTGGGTGGCGCATTTACGTTGTAGATGTCTATGGGCTCCAGTAACCACTTCACACCAGGTGGGCCGTGAGCTCGTCCACCCATCTAAGCTATAAAAAAAACGGAAATTTATTTTTCAAAAGCTTTTTCTGAGCTATTTATGGTATTGACGTAGCATTCATTATATACAAAATTGTTCAGTGCTCATCTGTAAAGCCTTGTTCGGACTAGGCGAGTATTTTAGTCGAGTACCGAGTAATTTAGTAGCTAAATGTGTCTGAGCACCAAAGATTTAGTCGAGTAGGTTAGTAAATAATTTAGTCAAGTCAATCCATTTTGTTCTGTTTTCGGGCGAGTAGCGAGTAGTTTAGCCACTAAATCACTCGGTACTCGACTAAAATACTCGCCTAGTCCGAACAAGGCTTTAGGGTATAGGGTGAGATAGACATACAGCGAAGGTAGCCAGCGAGCAACACAAGGAATGACCAACAAAAAACACAGATTGTTTCGTTTTGTTTTTCTCAAGTAGGATCAACAATCCGATGCGTCTCGAATTGCTGGAAACCGGTATACGGACGATGCGATGGTGGCATCAAACATTACTTTTATTAACTTTAGATCACTTAAATTATACGACTATTTACCATCCTTTAAATATAGTAACGTGGCACGTTTAGAAGATAAGACTGGACGTTAATAATATAACAAATAATAATGTTGTAACACAGAGTACGGAAAATTATGAGACTTATTATTTCACAACCTCCTATGCTTAAGGTCGTAGTAACTTCCGAAGACGTAATACAAGGATGTTCTGAAAGGTAAATTATGAAACTATGTAATAACTTCCTCAACTTGGAAGATACGACATTGAAATATGAAATATCCCTTCCGCGACTCGAAAGAGAGTTTTAGTATAAAATAATCAGGAGCGTGCAAATAAACAAAGCCGTAGGGATGTGCAGTATGCTATGCCATAAATAATAAAGAATACAAAAGGCAATGGATAAATTGTGAGGTGCCTGTATGTTTGAAACATGGGGCTGGGAGGTCAACGACACGCACCCCGACCCGCAGTGGGGCACAGACACAGGACGTGAGTCACTGCTGGGGATACCAGCTGCTAACGTTAAAAACTACCCTTAGTGCACGTGGCGTTGAATCCTACTTATCTCATTAATTAACTTCATTAAAAATTAAATATCGTGATATTAATATTTCAAATAATTGTAGCTGTATTAGGATATTTTTTAGCCTAGCTTTTAAATAAAGGTTTCTAAGTAGAGGTTTACGAGACTATAAACTTAATATATTGTACATTGAATCGATTGTTGTAGTTACAAAATCTATAACCACGTACAAACAGTATGGAAGGGAGTGAAAGCGACAACAAACGCCTGCCCCATTCATTTTTGATTCTACGCCATATGGCACAAGCAGACAGCTGATTCAACTTTAGATTTACATGCAACTAGGTTATCATCGATTAATTTAGTCATAAAACTATTACATTAATTTAAATGAAAAGTCAGTTTTAACGTAGAATAAAAACGCATTCTTTAATTAAAACCAAATTATATGTATTTACTTGTCAATAATTTATTCTTCGAAACAAGTTTCCATTCTCAGGGAGTACGAGCAGTTCAAGGAGTCAACATATATTTTATGATAAAATTAACTGGTTGTAGCAATATGAAACGGTGTAGAGCAGAGAGCGAAGAACTGAATGGCCGTCCTTCACCTAGGGCAGCCTGGCCATCGATCCTATCTGCGTTCGTTTCACTTTACTACCCACCTACTTATACACACAATCTGCAAATGTGAAAGTCAGCAAGATTTTTATGTTTCTGCCGCGCGTGTCGCTGTCCGCCCAAGAAACCGTGTAACCCTTCGAGGAAAATGCGTATAAACTTAATACAGTTTACTCATAGTTTTGCATATGTTGCAAATTTATTATGGAGTGCGTTAATCGCGTGACTCACATCAATGTTAACCTAACTCCGAAGGCGGAAACTCGCTTAGTAATGACGTAATAACTATTGTAGTTATTCACGAGTACAACGTGAGAACGACCGTTTCAAGGAAAAGGCTGGCGTTAGAACGATTGAGAGGCGCATTCGCTGTCAACGACGATTCCATGAAAAAAGAATGCTTTTTAGATGAGGAGGTTAAGCGACAAGGCGTCAATAACCTCGACGGTACGGATCGTGGAGATTGCAATAAATACGACATCGGTAGCGCTGGCCTGGTCAAGAGCCTTTCAAGGCTGGGAGGTGAGGCGGGGAGTGCATTCGCGCCCCACATCTGCACTTTAAACCTGACCACTCTTGTTCTACCGTCGGCGTTCCTCCCATAAAGAAGGTCTCCTCTGACTTGTATTAATTGTACTGTATTTAAATTCTATCGGTAATATTGACTTTGCCAGTCCTTTATTGGCAATTTCACTATTATGGAATAAGCACTTTACAAAATTGAGATTGTTTTTTTTTTCAATTTACTTCTTACAAGGTTTTACAATTTACTTCTATTTACCACAAAAGGTTTGTTAATTTAGCCTTGGAAGTTTGAAGTAAACCAAATATTAGATAGATAGCTGTTGCGGTTATTGAATTCACGAACGGTGGTCAGTTTTGTAACATTAAATCCAATTTGAAGGTCGAGACAGTATAATGTCCTTGAACTTGAGCAATAAAAAAATCCGTGAAATAATTTCAAAATTAAACTAGAATACTAGCATATTTTGCTAGTTACAAATCCACTAATATTAACATTACCGAATCGTCAGACTGCATGGGTTGAAAAGAGATGGACACATTACTGACTGGATTCAAACGCAACAAAGGATCGGCGGATCATCCGCAATAGGTTGAACGCGAAACTCACCGTAGGTCGAGGAAACGGGCGGGTCGCGTTCTTCTGTCACAGGACATTTCTTTGAATTAAAGGTTGTTTCACTGTTATTTCACTTCACCAATTAGACACTGGCATCATCCTTACAAACGTCGGGCGTGCGTCCGCGCTCAACACTACCACAGGCGGCGAGAGAACGCGCGCACTGAACTCCGCTGAGCAGAGCGCAGGCTACCTGCCGTTTCCGAGGCGCGGCGAAGCGGAGGTGCGCATCGCGGCGCACGCGCAGGTACGCTACTCAGTCGAGGGGGCAGTTCGTTCGAGCCACTCTCCTCACTAGCCTCGCCAACCTCGGAGCGACCCGTCAAAACAATGCCGGCCACCACCTGTCTTACATTTCGGTAAAACAAAAATTTTTGTTGTTTCAATGAAACCGTTTTTCTTTTTTCAAAATGATTTTTTTTCTTGATATTTTGTTCCCTTATATTATTAACTTTTCAAGGGTTCAAAACTTCGATCAAGCTAATTAGGAAGTGACAGCAGCATTATGGTTTAGTTCTAATTTCCATATAAATATTTTTCGATAAATACGTTTGGCAACTTTTTGTCGTTCTAAAACTGTGTAAGAAGTATCGTAGAATAGTATAAAATTGGTAGGCCGTATAATAGGTGATCAGACTTAATGTTCTAATTGCAGTTACGAGAACGTATGAAGAATAAAAGTATGTACTTGCTTTAGAACTGTAATAAAAGCGCAAATAGATTTCCTTTTGTCCGTTTGAAGAATAGTTTACAACTCGCATTAGTGTCCGCGAAGAAATACGGGATCTCATTACGTTCTTTCAAAAACAGGTTTTAACGGTCGAGAAGTGGAATTCATTATTTTGTTTATCAATTCCATTATAAATGAAAGTTGAAACGTTTACGGGGGCTCGGTAAAAACGACCTACCTGAGTAATCGTGTTTCGAAATCGTAGGATACATCTGGCATTTCGTTTAAAAGTCGGCTCATTCCACATGTATCATGATAATGATGATAAACGATTTATTGCATTAGTGCTTCACTTTCGTTACACTTTGAAAGTCCTCTTCATACTATTTTCGTTGGGTATTCGTGGTATTTTGATGCAATCCTTTGAATTTTTGTGACATGTTTTTTATGTTCAATTAAATAATCACTACATAGTATAAAACAAAGTCGCTTTCTCTGTCCCTATATCCCTATGTATGCTTAAATCTTTAAAACTACGCAACGGATTTTGATGCGGTTTTTTTTTAATAGATAGAATGATTGAAGAGGAACGTTTATATGTATAATAAGATCCATTAAATAGTGGAGAAATCAAGAATAAATTACAGTTTCCGAAGCGAAGCAAGGGCGGGTCGCTAGTAAATAATAAATTAAAGAACGAACGGTTTGCGTGGTATGTAGGAGATACATGTGACTAAGAGGTGTATAGAAATGGTAGTGCAAAGTGAGGTCGACCCAAGAAGATATGGATGGAGTTTGTGAATGACGATATGAGAGGAAGATAACTTAGTGTTGAGATGACGGCTGATAGAAGAGATTAGAAAAGAAAAATTCGCTGGGCCGACCTCACCTAGTGGTATAAGGTGAAGACAAAGAAGAAGATGAAAAGTTTGACGTTCATTCTTCTGTTTCATTCCTTAGCTTACGGTTCAATAAATACGCAACAAAAGCAAGGTAAATCTATTGTTGCTAGGGCGTCTAGCGAGTCCGCGTGGGTAGGCACCGCTTGCCTATTCCTGCCGTGAAGCAATAATGCGCTTCGGTTTGAAAGATGGGGCGCACCCGTTGTACTGAAAAACTGAGACTTAGGACTCATTTCTCAAGGTGGGTGGCGGCATTTATGTTGTTGATGTCTATGGGTTCCGATGGCCACTAACACCCAGCGTCCCGTAAGGTCGTCCAACCATCAAAGCAATTAAAAAAAAAACTTAAGTAATCCATTCTTTCGATTTTCTCTCTCTAAAGTTCTAAGTTCCCACTATAACGCATGCCATGGAAACAATTCCTGAAGACGAAGAGTTATTAATACATTAATATGCTACTAATAATCTCCATAAACGAAAAAAATATATTCATTTGATATGTTAATGATGTTCCCACTACGGCACGCGTTCAGCCTTTTAACTGACCATCTCCATATTCCATATTCTCCATCAATATTTTCTACAAAAATGCTTTCTTTTGATAATATAGGCGCGGTTAGGTATGAAACATCTATATAATTATACCCAACCATGTAACTACGAGTTTTCTTTGCATACATTTATTTTGCCACTTTTTTATTATTGCTTAGATGGTTGGACGAGCTCACAGCCCACCTGGTGTTAAGTGGTTAGTGGAGCCCATAGACATCCACAACGTAAATGCGCCACCCACCTTGAAAATCATCATCATTTAATCATCATGGCCTAAGTACTTTTTACAGATATTTATCGTTAATTCATACAGACCATCTCAAATTGAATAAAAAATGAAACGTTTTTCGTACAACGTAGGGTAAAACATGAAAAAAAGAAGCTAAATGCACGCGATTCCGCTATTAGGAAATGGGCGCTGCCGCAACGTAGACTATAACGATTTCACTAGGCGGCCATAGTGAATGTTGAAAATTACGCTTTTCAGTAAAATGAAAGCGCGCTGCCGCTGAGAAATTCCTTCAGCCTAAAGAGAGATTATGAATTTTTGATAGCGGCGTTTTTTTTCCATGCCTCGCTTTTATATTCAAAGCGGAATGCGTTGTATAGTTACCGATAAGTTGATTTGTTTTCATTGGTTTAGGAAAACCTAGTTTTTTATTATGTTTAATGGAAAAATTTATAAATTCCAATTATTAATCTTTTTTAATCATCAATCGTTGTTTACTTGCCTAATTCACGAAATAGGTATAACACGTAAAACCAATATTCTGTTATCCAAAAAGCTGTGTTAAAACCCATCTATAAGGTAAATAGTTTCGCCAGAATAAAAAAAAAAACAAAATGTGTGCAATTCACACGTGGTAGAAGTGAAACCTTCCAAAATTAAAATACAATTAACCTAAACGTCTTAAGTATATGTAAAATTTTGTCATTAGTAAATAATTGTAAGGTAGCGCCCTCTGTGAATTGATATTTTAATTTCACGTATAATCCTAAATTAAAATTTACTACAAGAGCTTTCATACACACATTAGTATTAAAAAATCTCACAGATGGCGCTGTATTAAATAGTATGTATATTTCTGTCTCATTCTTTGCTGGCTTCATCCTACACATTTTTGTATTTGTGTCTCTTACCTGTCGTTTTTTCCGTTGCATCCGGTTTGAAATCACAACGATTCTAAAGAAGTTTTCACTTCAAAAATTTGCAGTGTTATACAAACATTATGATCAGTTAATAACGCGACATTGGGTGTATAATAATAATAATCAATAATAAAAACGCATATTGTTTGTACGAATGTTTGTTTGATCTTGCGCGCCGTAAGTACCTGTAGTTATGGAATTTCAAGGATGATTTCTGACAGAGTTGATAATATGTCGCCTATTGTAACGTTAATTATGTTAAGTCCTGCACCGGTTTTTATTACGTACCCAAATTTACAAATTATTCATTCAAAAGTCCAAAACTGGAAGGAGCAAAAACTGAGTTATAATAGAAAAATCGATTAAGTACATTCATAAACAATCTAAAATAGCTGTATAAATAATAACTTATGAGCGAACAAAATGGTATGTATTTTTTTACTGAGTCATACTGTACAAAACTAATTTTAGTTGGAGATCATCTCTAACGAATGTTGACCGCATTCCTTGATTTCCCGATCTGATACCTCTACAGTCTATATGTCTGAAGTTTCCTATTACCACTTAACCCAAATAACTGTAATTACTTCCTAAGATCCATTTTCTTTTCCCACTGTGGGATAAAAATTGAGCAGCGTATTTGAGTGGACGAGCTATTAGCCTAGAATAATAACCCACGAACAATTCAACGAAAATATAATATCAAAATTTAAAGTGTAGTGTTCGTTCACGCGGTCCGCACCAGCGTTAGCACCCTTCAAGGTATACAATCCCATTTTTGCAGGATAACCGTCGTAGCGCCATGGTATCTGAGAAACATAGATCCTAAAAGAAAGAAAAAAAAAAGAAAAAACAATGTCGTCTACTTGGATTTAGAATCGATCCGTAGGTATCTGAAGGCAGTGTCAGAACGCGTCATCGAGAAATCGGCGCGACACGACAACCCTTTTATCGTAGCCGCTGTAAACTACAACATCGACCCAGATGACGGGACAGCGAACAGCCGCTCTCGAACCACTCTCGGTGCCTTTAAGCATTCCAAGCACTAGTCATAGTTTTCGTCGAAAACATTTCGGCATGCCACTTAACCCATAGACACAATCCACTCAGTTTCTGGCCGGATCCTCTAAGTGGGTCGCAATTCCGGTCCTGTGGTACATTCAGTAAAGCACTGCTCTTGCTAGGGTAGATATTAGTAAATTCACGTGAGCTCGCCACTAGATATGGTGAAGCCAGAATAGCCCTTCGAGGCTACTAGCGGAAAGTTTGGCAAAAAAGTGAGCACTAACTATATTCAGGGGGACCGATGTCGAAATTATCTTACCTAATTTATCACTCAAAACTTTTAAGCAATTAAGATTTCTGATTAGAGAGTAATGCAAGCCTACGGGTACAATACCAGGTACTAGTACTCAAACCTAGACTGGCGCTGCACTAGGACCTTTAACTTTCAGTGGAAGAAAACTAAAGATAAGCTCCTGTTTATGAGCAATCGATGAATTGTTTGTTATGGAACCGCCCGCTTTTAGGTCAATTATGACATATTGGGGTAAAATTAGCGTAATATTTTTATTCAATCAATATTTAAGCTTTAAAATTACAGTACCCGTTTTTACTAGATGCTCGAGATGCCATTATGACAGATGTTAGGCGTTCAACGCCCGATGATACTTTTAAGAACTACCCAGTAATTGAAATTTAGAATTTTTGTTAAGTTATTATATACGTAGTTGAAGTACGCATAAGCGCACGAAAGGATTGCAAAAAAAAACGAAACAGACTTTTTAGTGAAAAACGTATCATCAAAAATTATTTTATATCTTTTTAATTTTAACCGTTTTGACGTAAGCCTGGATATGAAGACAAATATGACATTCTTAGAAAGTTCCTTTTTGTTCCAGACATCCAAACAGTACTGCGGAAGTCAAACAATATTATATCAAAAGAACTTTAAGTAGGAAGAGGAAACGACGTATCTTACGCAACAAAGGTCGTTGCGGAT